ATATAAAATGTGTATTTTACATTCCTATCATATAATGATGTAGGGTATTGCCATTAAGTCCACCATCGTTTCATATTCATACATTATTCACCAACTCTATATCACTCAAAATTGAGGGGTATCCTCAATTGAGATTATGATGGATTTTAAAAATCCTTCTAAATTTAGTTGTCCTCAATTAGAATTTTAATGAAATCCATTAAAATTTAAGTTTTTTCAATTGAGATTTTAATGAAATTCGATGAAATTCTTTAAAATTTAGGTATCTTCAATAACTAGTTGATTTATAGAGATTTCATTAATAGAGAGATTATAAAATATTTGGATGGATTTCAAGCTAAAAATATATATAACCAAATCTTTTAAAATTTTATCATATTTGATGAGATTCTTATGGAATTTATGGAAATCTATTTAAACCCACGAAATTCATTTGAATTTATAATCTTTTAAAATCAATCAAAATCTTGGTTGAGGACAGTATCGTAAGTATTGTGTTAGAAATTTAGTTTCGTAAAATATGATTTTTTTTTTTTTTTGGGGACAACGTTCTTTTTTAGATTATTACATCTTGCAAATCAATATATTTAATGACATAGGAGTTTATAGCGGAACGCGTGAGTAGAGATTAATTTCACGGGGGTTGAGGAATTTAAATCTCTTGCTTCGATCCAACAATCTTTGATATTCTTGAAATTTTTTTAACTTTTGAATCTTTTTTAGTATTTGGTCATAACATATGAGTGGGCACTGAGACATCGAGATCTAACTTAGAACCCTAAACAAAGACTTATTCAATAAAGAAAACATATTAGTTTTCAAAGATTGAAAAAGATAAAAAATAGTGTATTTTGTACTAACCACCCTATTTAGAGCTTGTCTGTTTATGATTCCTTGCAAAAATTTCATTGCTTTTGTGAGCGTTGGAATAGGAGGCAGCACACCTTATTTGACTTCCTATCTCCTAAATGGGTCCCATTTGCTGAAAAGAAACGGCTGCAAAATTGATTTTTTGGAACAAATAATCAGCAACAGACAAGTCCTTAGTATACACAAACACAAAATATTGCAACTCCATTTTATATAAGTAATAAAATCATGTTATTCATTCAATAATAATCGAAATTTGTTATCTTATTATAGTAAAGTCATAATATTTTGGGCACATATCCCAACACCTCAGTATTCACTCCAAGCCTATTTTGCCAAGTACATCCCCGTTTCAAAGTGCGTTCACACATAATCCAACAACTTAATGGGAACGCTTTGGCATTGTCTCCATCGGGCTCACCTTGTTTCATGATGCTCCTATATTATCCACCCATTCCACATGAATGATTCACCACAAACCTAATACGTTAAATCCATACCCGTTTCAAGCAATCCACCAACTTCAGAGGAATGCTCAGACATTGTCTCCGTCAAGCCCACGCCCCATTTCAAGATGCTCCTACATTATCCAGACACTCCATGGGAATACTTTAAGTCTTTAACGTTGATTCGAACACGATACCTCTAACTTCGATATCAACTGATGTGGGGATATATCCATCACTTTGTTCAAAAGCTACACTCACGACACAAATGCAATTCATCGTATGACATCTATAATTAAATCCTAGAGAATTCATCCCAACTCCAATCCTTTCGGCCCGCCTCCATTTTCAACCACGCTCTTATATTATATAGACTACCCACCATTAACATTTGAACAATTACTATACACACTTTTTATACCCCACACGTACTTAACGGGACATCCAATGGACTAGTGTTCTTATTATTAGATTGGACAATGGATAATGAACAATGGGATCTACTTTAAATTTTTTGTCGGATCTTTCTTTTGTGGTACACTCTATTGTCAAATATGTAATGAATATTCATCTTAAGATTTACTTGTGCTGTTCAACATATTAAATTCACATAATAATAATTTAGGCTAAAAAGAATAATGATATATATATTTCCCAATTTTCTATTTTGTTGAATAAGAAATACGTATTTTAAAATAGAGAAAAATGCTCGTTCAAAAAGAAAAAAAAAAGAATTATAAAGTAAAAATAGATGACATATAATCGGTGTAAATTTCATATAGGGTCATTGAACTTTCAATAATATTTTAATTAAGTCACTGAACTTCATTTTAGTTTTAAATTTCACCAATATGTTATATATTTCATGATGTAAAATGCTTAGTTGGCAGCCATAATTATGATATTCCACGTGATTGGTACGTGATATCTAAAAACTAAAATGGTAAAATGATGGTTACTATAGCATTTTTAGATTATAAAGTAAAAATGCATATTTTCTTTTAGCAATTTTATAAATGTCACTAAGGCTGTCTGTGGGTCGGTTCGATTCGATTCTGAAGAGACCCGAACCGACCCAAAACTTTCGAGTATTTAATAAATGGACTCGTTGGGTCCAAATATAATTATGGAACCGTTCGAATTCGGTTCCGTTCGGATCGGTTCGATTTGGTTCCGTTAGGTTCCGTACTATAATCAAATTTTTTAATATTTACAGCAACACTACATAAAAACAACTAGTGACATTTCATTCGTAACTTTTATAAATTAACATAGCCCAATTCAAAAACATATAAATAACTAGCCGTCCAATAAGATTAATTCAGCACATACAAATATCAAAAAGTAGATATTACTATTACAGCAAAACTATATAAATATATTCATTTACTTCAAATTAAAATGGACTAATGGGTTTTAAAAATGATTTGGGTTTTAAAATTAAAATTATGAAATAATCTGATTTATTTAATTAATTTGCTAATTTGTATAGAAAAAAATAAAATAATTTAATTAATTCAATATAAAAAAATTATTTAGTTTCGGTTCTTATTCGGTTCTTCGGTTATTGGTCTAGATTTGAGATCCGATCCAAACACATCGGTTCTCGATTCGGGTACCCGTTCGAGTATTTAATTTATGAAGAACCGCTCGATTCAGTTCGGTTCGGGTTCGGTTCGGTTTTGGACTTTTGGACACCCCTAAATGTCACGGTGGTAAATCAAGTGCCGCACAATGCTTAAATGGAATATTCATTATAGCGTGATTGACAGCTAAGCAACTTTCATTAATTTGGGAGACAACAATTGACAAAGTGGAAACCAAATATCAAGTTTAGCAATACAATTGAAATTAAATTGAAGTACAATGATTTAATTGAAACATATTAAAGTTTAATTACCAATTCAAATTTAGATAAATTTTCAACCACCGTCGATGAAATTTACCTCATTCAAAGTGAAAAATAAAAAGAATATGCAGTAATAAATTTATATGCCAAACCTTTGACGCAACCATTAAATACCAAATGATAATTTAACAAAACCTAAAGGACCAAAATTGAATATTTAGTAATAGAACAAATTCTCATATTCCCAAAATCGATCATGCTACTTGTACAAAGTGACTTGACAAATTGGGTTTACAAAGTGATGTAGCAGGATTCTAAAGGACTTAAATGTCCTTCCTCTATCTATTCCAAATTATGAGATCTATTTCTCCTAGCAAATAGCCAAATCAATTATGCTCGTTTTTATTAATTAAAATTTATTCTAAATATTCTTTTATATGATTAATTTTTAATTTGTTACTAAATATTCTAAAATAAAATTTAATTGTTAAAATATATTTTAATATTTTAATTTCTTTAGGTAACCTATTTAATAAAGGTCTTCTCATAAAAATCTCAATTTATGCTTAAAATAACTCAAACTTCATAAATAGCAGGAATATAATTATAAATGCAAGTTTTGACATAAATAAGAAAGATCTTACAGTATTGAAGAAGAAGGTAAATGTAGAGTAATATTAATGAGATTTCCCTCTAGCTTGTATCCATATGTTAGTGTACTCAAATATAAGTGATCGGTGTTATTTGAATTTAAGAAAGTGGATTATGGTCCAACACGACTTCCGCACATTTACTGGTTTTCTTTCTTACTCTTTTGCATATCTCACAATGGATCACACAAAATCACTGTTTTCCTTTCAACTCCTTGTTAAAACATGACTAGTAACAGGGTTCCCATGGCTTTCTCTACCAATGTCTAAAACACCTACACACGACAACAAAATACTTGTACTAACCCCCAAGGTTTTCACCGTTGGAGTATGAGTAAGATAAGAATTTTTGAGAAAATAATAAAGATAAAAAGACAATGTCTTGAAATAACTCGATTTCATAAAAACGTCACACTAATATCTCTTCCATAAGAGTACACATACATATTTTGGCTACACTCTTGGTACTTTCTCTAAGGAAATTAGAATTTCATAGAGATTATCTTATTATAAACTTCACTTCAAAGACAGAAACTGAAAATGTTATAAGATTTGAAATGTAAGGTAGAGAGATAAATTTTTGGTTTAAGACTCGAATGACTTCTTCTATGAATTGGTCTTCAATTTATAGACTTGAAAAAGCTTCACAGCTGTCTTTCATTATTGTTGCTTTTACTGTGTAAGATAGTGGGTATCTTACTGTGGTCTAAAGTTTTTTGTCTTAATATGGAAAATAATGGAGGTGAACTCAGATTTTTTCTTTATCAAAAATAATTCTGATAAAGTAGTGATAAAGGGGTCATTTTTCTTTTACTTTTCCATATGTGATTCAAATCACTCCTCCGAAAATTTCGATGGATCCAATGAGATAGGTGAGAAGTCATCTTCAGTGCAACAGCATTCGCACTTATGATTCAGATACCGCCAAAACTGTTTACACAGCTCATTTTTTGTCTTTATTGTTTCACTGGCTTGTCCTTTAAAAATATGATCGCACCATGTGTCAAGATAATGTCAATCTTCTTGTTTGGTGGGTACCACAGCTTTGCTGTAGATTAGGTGATCCTATGAATCATACACCCAAATATTTTGTTTTTCTTCAATAACCTTTTGAATATGCTCAAACTGCTCCT